AGGTAGTTCCCGTTCTCAAGGGGCTTTTCGGAGACCATGCTGATTGTTTGGAGGTCGTTGGCTGCGGGCTCTGGGAGTGGGAGAGCCGTGATGTTGGGCAGCTTGGTGACCTCGTGAAGGCCGAGGAGGGAAATGAGAACGTAGCCGTTCTCTGCAAAGACTGGAGACCACGAGTGACCTGATTGCGGTAATCAGATATTGAGCGAGCGGGCAGGGACATGCTGAGACTTACGGAAACCTGAGCATCGCACGCCCATGTTGTGGGCCTTTGCATACTTCACAATAAGCTGGACCTCCTGAGACGTCTTCGGCACACAGGTGAGTGCCGGGACGTTCTTAACAGTCAAACCCCAGTTCTGGAACTCCGTCTTGTAGTACACCTAATGACTGGTTAGTAAAGTCGTGTGTCGAAACGAATGATTCCAGCGAAGGCTTACTACGATACCAGCTCCCCGCAGCTCGTCTTTGTTACCCTCGATGAAGTTCTCCATCTTGCTCAACGTGTTATGGAGAAGCGCCCTTTCCTTAACAGCAAGCGCACGAAAAGGCTGTTTGAGCTTCTTGATACCCTGCGCACCAACCTGGATAACGCAGTCCGCCTCATGCAGTCTCGCCAACTCCTCCCGGCACCCCAGACTCGGTCCCATATGGAAGCCGTCGCTGATCTTCTTGGGATCATCTCCGACGAGGAACCTCTTGATGCGCTTTTGCTCATCGTCAGTGTGCTTGTGGAGAATATTGGAGAATGCCCCATCGGTTTTCGAGTCCTTGAAGACCTGGAGCAGCCTACGGAGGAATTGGACGTAGTCAACGTCTACGTCGTCGTTGATGTAGTCATCGAGGAGAGCTTGGAGACCTGGGACTTCCTTTTGGCTGAATTTGGGGTTGTTGTGAAGGCCTTTGGCGATGTGTCCGATTCTTTCGTCGACCGAGTGGTCCCACGCTTTCGATGTGGAAGTCATGATGAAGTTGGCAGGGTGGCGGAACGGCTATGAGGCGTGATTGTTATAGCAAGGAGTGAGCTTGATCTGTTCATACCTGTCGATAGAATAGTATTAAACGATGCACATCAAAGGTTCGAATATTCTACTGGGACTTTATACCTGCCCTTCATCTGTTAGACGTGCACTGGTCATGGGGGAATACGATACTCAAAAGACCGTCTTCATCTCTCAAAGCATTTAGTATCGCGCATTCCCCCTGATCTTCAGCCGCATCGAAAACATGCAAAAGTGGAAAGTCAACATCAGCCGTGTCTTGAATCTATATTGGGGGCGGGAGCGGAGCGGACGACGAAACCGGCGACGGTGTTGCCCGCGTGTGAAACAAGCGCCCACAAGGAGAGACCGGCAATGGGGGGTAAGGTCTAGATTATATGCAGGGTTCCATTGGGAAGCATCAAGCACAAAAATTGAGCTTCAGGTAAAAGCGGATGTCTTGTGTCTTGTCAATCCGGTCGTCATTCGCATCTCGTAATACCGTATCCTTTCTATCTAAAAGTCTTGAATTTCTCTTCAACCTGTCTGTTGAGGCTGACCAGGCTACTCAGGGAAGTCATCGCTTGGAAAGAGCGTACTAGAGCGATGGCGACTACTTAGTCACACTCGCATGACTGAGAATGCATCAACGGCATCGTAGAAAGTGGTGAAAATCTTGAGCAGCGGGATCCAGGCTCATCAGAAAGTTACAGCCCGACGCTTAGCTCGCTATCTTTTCGGCAGGTGGCATTTTGAGACAGTTTTGGGGGCAGATAGCCGGCCTCGTCTGATTAGCTGGATTTTGTGGCTTGTCCATTTCTGAGAGGTGGCCGACGGCACGTTTCCTATAGAACTCCCGAAATGGAGCTCAAAAACGGCATGATACCAGTCTAGAGGCTTTTCAGACTGCTGGCGCAGATCACTTGGAACATGAAGTATCTGCCATCTTGCCTGGCCAACCGGTCCTCCTCATCTTGAGGGAAGCTCGAATCCTCGCCGAAGCCCGGACTATTCGGATAGGACCGTGGCATAAGGATACAAAGAAGACTGTCAATAGTCGAAAAGCTATGAGGGTATTCTTTGCACGTATCCAATGCCAACTCCTAACTGTCCCCTCTCCGCTCATCGTCTTGATCTTCAATGTCTCCATCCGCTGTCGCAAAGATTCCCCGCGTCTGCTCAGGCAATCTGATCCTGTTCTCACGCCCACACATAACCCATAATAGAGCCCACAAGATCATCTGTCCAATAAGCAGAGGTAGTTGAGCTGCAAAAGTCGAGATATTGTCAGTATAGTCCATGATTATCTGACCGGCTGCCCAGCCTATCCATGACAAGGACACTGATCCCAGAGCTCCGGGCCACGTTGTCGATTTTCGAATCAAAAAGGCCCAAAGGACTTTCTGGAGTGTTAGCCGAGTATTCCTCAAAGATCAGTGAACCAGGGGCTGCTTACGAGGTAGTGCGAATTCGTTGATCCGTCCAAGCATCTGGAAAGGGATAGCTCCGAGAAAGCCGAAGCCAGAAACGGTAATGACACTGAAGAGTCCTGAAGTCGTCGCAACTGAAACCATGACAACAACTGGTTGATGAAGTCAGTAATCAGCTACGCAGACGTTGTCTTCTTCAAGCGATTATTGCCAAAGCCTGGACGTTCGATTGACGCTTGGCACTCAAAAGATCGCGGGATTGCAGGGAGAACGAAATATAGAGGACATGTCATTGGGAATTAAAGTTTGACTTACAGAGCATCGATGGTATTCTGTAGATCAAAAGGCCAGCGCAGATGGCGATGCAGACGGCACCCGCTCCGCTGATAGAGTCTTCGTGGATAACACTTTGAGAGGTAAAGGACATTGCCAGGGCGATGGAAAATACCAGAAACAACTGCAGAACGTTGGAGAGCGATTGCTGTCAAAGAAATCAGAATCTGAAAGCCATGGAAGAGGAAGACTTCTAACAAACCTGGTGGTTCCACCACACGGCCCCCGCTGCTTTGGTATGCAAAGAATCGGCTGCCGCATGTCGTGAGTAGTAGAGCTTTTGATGCGGAAGGAGCCAAGTGACATCCTTCGGTCCTCCAAGTATATTTGAGAAGCCGGCCTGTATGGTGGAATAAAGCAAAACGATGTTGGCGAAGAAGACGATACCGCCGATATCGAGAGTCAAGGAAATATTATGGAAGGTGATCTCTGGCAGTGACCCAAGCAAGCTTATCAGCCCCGCAAATGCGACGTTCCAGAAGAGGAAGCGCAGCGGCAACTCCTTGATGGGGTACCATGATATCATGTACTTGACGAGCGTCACCGCGAGGCAACCTTTGAGAACACCGTGAATAATAGAAAGCAGCACGGCGGTACCGTGAAACAGCCCCCCGCTTCGCGCAATGCTAGTCAGAACTGTTCAAGAATTAGCTTCTGACTTGGGGAGGAGAGAAATGAAGACTCCTGAGTAAGTACTGTTCGCTGCAAAAGTGCAGATGGTGACATGGCTAAGTGGCAAATACTGCAGCAGGATGAAGCCTGGCAGTTGGCCCAGGAGGAAAGACACATGAAAGATGGATGCCTTAGTGGAAGATGGGCCAAGTGTGCTCCATCCGGCCTGCGACTGATGAGAAACTGATCATTCACACATTGATCTGAGGCCAGAATCATTAACTTACAAGGCATAGTGCGAAGAATAGAAACTCCACCTTCCATGTGCGGGAACCATTGACAAGACTCGTAGTCTTAGCAGCGCTGTTCTGCACTCGTGTGGGTTCTAGATCGTCACTAGGGAAAGATGTTGACGGCATATCGTGTATGGTGCTAGGGGTCTGCTCGTTGTGTCGAGGGTGGGGTGCCAGTGATAGCCGAATCCGATCAATCCGGTGCAGCTGCTCGACCCCCCGACGATTCACTCTTAAGACAGCTTGCCTGTGGAAAGTGTTTGTCCGAGCGTCGTAAGAGCAGAGAAGAGTCCGCTGGAGACCGCCTTCGGAACCGCATTCGAAGATGGCGACCGGGGGCAGATGGCATTGAAAATGTGTGACCGTCATCAAGTATGTATCCACCAGGGTGAAAGCGAAACTGCCACTTCCAACAGAAGGTCCGGAGGACTGGCTTGACGCTGAACGAGCTCGGAGGTCAGCTTCATCAGTGTAGTGCTGCGGATTCGTAGCGGTGAGATTGCCATGATTAAACCCCCAAAGGTGCTTCTCAATGCTCGCAGAGTCGACAATGCCCTCTATGCCGATGAGCCGGGACTTGGCTGGCTGTTTGACTCTGCCTCGCGTTGAGATCAACACTATTGGGAACAATAAAGCAAAAACCACGGCAAGAGGCAGGAGCCACATATAGACCTGCCATATCGATAATCGCATAAAGTCCGAGAGCACGATATTGGCAATGCCTGTGAAGAGAGAGAACGCCATTGGGACGGAGAAACATGCGCCGTATGAGAAGCCAACGAAGACGAGATAACGCATCCCGAAGCCCCGATCGAAATAAGGCTCTGGCTCGAGGTTGTCCCAATGAATTGTCGCACCGTATACCTTGTCCAGCATGACTGTGTCAGCGCCGACCACGCCTGATATGCTGACGCTTGGGAAGATCTCGCTGAGCCGGGCACCCCAGGTATCCTCTACCTGGTGCCATGGAGCCCCATCTGGCGGAGAGAGAGATATCAACCTGCTGAGAAAGGCTCCGCTGTCATTAGCAATGGAGAGCTTGGCAAAGGCTTGGAACCCGGAGTCTTCTTTGTTCACTGGAGGTCGATGACGGTTGGGGAAGAGACCCATTGTTGCATACGCGATGTCTCCCTTGTTGAACTGATCCGTCTGACGCCTCGAGAAACAAGCGAGCGCAGCTTCGATGAGTCGGAGGTCGGTAAGAATCGCGGATCCTTCGAAATGATCCACAAGTTCCTTCACAGCCTCAGCATCGTCCCACGCCCGCTCAGCGAAGTTGCGTTTCGCCAGTTCTTTGGGTTCCGCAGGGTATCCGAGGACATAGAGTCGTATACGATATTCTGCTGGGCAAAGTAGAAGCTCCGGCAGCGTCCATAGGCGCGATCCCCACTGTCGCAGCCATGGCGTGACGTTCTCACGCCTGTACTCAGGGGGCTCAGAACCAGCAAGAATTGAGGCGACCTTATCGTTGGCGGGTGGTCCGATGGCAATGATCATGGAGTGTGCCGCGCGAACAATGTCGCAAATTCGGTAGACGTCCTGACTGCTGCTCGTTGATCGTGCGATGCCGTCGTCGTTCCTAACACACTCGAAGTCGAGCCAAAATGCCCTCTTCCCCACCCTTTTCGCAGCATCCATGCCCCACTTGGCCAATATCTCTCGATCCTGTCGTGCGACTTCTTTGTTAGCGTCCCTAATGGCCTCGTCTGGGTAGTCGTGCTTGTTGAGCTCCTCCTCAGTAGCTACCCTGAACTGGAGCCTGGTGTATGAGACGAAGACAAACTCTAAGTCTACGTCATCTCCATGCTGCTCGAGGTAGTCAGAAACCTTGACTGTCTCGTATATGCCTTGTTCAAAGTCCTTAACAAAGCATAGATATCGTGGACGAAGAGAGGTCGGCGAGTTATCGACATGCGGCCCTGATGGCGGCAAAGACCCGCTCAACCTGATATTGTCGGTGTATTGCTGCTCAAACGGCGGGGCCCTTGCTTCTTGCAGGGAACCAGAAAGGATGACATCCTGCTCTATCGCATGCCGATTTGAGAGCGGTCTCTTCTGACCACTTCCCTCCCTTGAGAGAACGCATACGTTATCGTAACGTGAGTCCTTTTTGTTGCGAGCATCGACAAGCTGCTGTGTCGTCGTACCAAGATTACCCGCCCAGCAGACCTTGTATTTGTGAGCTGTCAAACACTAGTGACAGAAGGTGCCAAGCAACATCTCTTACCAGCATGCACAGAACCGGCCAAGTCACGAGCAGCTTCAGCGCCGTTACTGCTAGTGTGAACAGGCTGACGTTGTACTCTCTTGTGCCAGGAACAAACAAAGATGAGCCGGCCCAGTACGAGACGCGTAACAATGGTGAGATTCGAGACGATGACTTCCCCAGACGCGACCATCTTGAAGTCTCGGGCAGAAGGTCCGGCTGTTGGCCGCACTGAAGCACCAGTGGAACCAAGCAGCCGTCCGATGGCTGAGCCCACCATTCGTGGCTTGGGTCCGTGAAGTCGGGCTCCATCCTTTCAGGTTCTTACGATATTGGATGAGGCGCGCATAAGGTATATCAAAGACGCAAAGATATCGAGCTTAAATGCGAAAGAGAATAGCAAAGGGACGCCTCACTTTTGTGCTCTTTCCGCGCTGAATGTCGTTGCCTGCTTACGCTGCACAGCCACGGCGGCTGAGATCTTGCATGAACCCCTGTCGTTATTTCTCTTGAGGCAGGCGCCGATAGCTCGGCCCATTGGCTAGGATCCGTCAAGGTGGGGCAGTTAAACACCCAGCAAAACGCTGGAAGGAAGGAAGCAACTATCTCAACTGCGATGGCCGTACCTTCCAGATGTTGCCGTGAGAAGCCCACATAGGTCGCCTCAGTTCTATTCCTGTCACCAACGGCAGCAGGCGCCACACAGGCTTGTGAGGTCAGGTCAAACTGCCGTTTGGCGGGATGGTTAAGGGCGAGCTTCTCGGCGGCAGGCTCGTCTTCGCCAGGTCACAGGTTCAATTCCCAGCATGAGCACCAAGAGATGTAGCCCCCAAGTCAGCACCGGGGGGGTGAACTCTTTTGTTAAATTGCTATATTCTTTCATCTTGTCTTGAGACGACTTTCGAGCTCGGTCTACTCGAGTCTCTCTCGAGTCTGAGCTCCTGCCCAATCTTAAGATTGGTCTCGCATTGAATTTGACTAGAAGAATACCAGATTGGGTCTATTTAGCTAATATGTCGGTACTTTAGATTGATCAATTGTCGTGATGACACCAGCCATTTGATACCTTGCGGCTCGTCACATGGTCCCACTTTTCCACTCATCATACTTATCCATGTTCACATCATTCAGCACGAGATATCATCTAAGTTATCTCACATAGAAATAACATCTAAAAAGGTGTGATTTTACGCTTTCAGTTGGCAGCTGCGTAGTGGTCCGTGTTTCTGCCGTCTGAACAAGATGAACATAGGCTGCAACTGCGAAGTTAGACGGGCTCGAGCCCCTCCATCTTTCGACTACATGTCAAGATCTCCACTGACACCTATAACTAGAGAGGGAGCATTAGTAGGAGTGTGTTTAATTGTATGCATATCAGTAGAGCAGCTCTCGGGCCGATGCAAAGCCCAATGATTGTGATTGGAAATTTGTGTATGGGATATGGAGAAAGGAGGAATTGCGCGTAGACTCCTCCAGATTGGCAGCAGGTAGGTACGGCCATACTAACTGCAACAATTGCCTTTCCTACTTCCTACCTGATATTCCAACAGTATCTGTGCCTCACGAATTCATACCGGAATGAGCAAGAGGGAATGTAGTTGCATCTCCGGAGATCGGAGCCGAAAGCGGACCTCAGACATCCGAAGCCCCGCTTTCGCCGAGAACCGCCGACCTCACGCCAAAACCGGATTGGGAACCCTGACCAAAAGCTCTGACCACCGGTACGGATACCGACCGACTTTGGCTTATCTTTCAGACTTTTTCATCGTCCAGGTTCATCCTTTTGCGTCTCACCTCAGATTTTATACTGACCAGCATTGATACACGTTTCCAGTCCGGTGACAATGCCGCATGGCCTGAGACGCATGTTGTGCAACAGGACCATCGCTGCGAAGGGGTGTTCACTCCAACGTTCAACCCCAGTTGCACAGCATACACCATCTACCACCAATGGTCACCTTGATGAGAAATCTCTCCTTGTATAGAGTGAACGGAATATGGAGTGTTCGTACACGCATTCGTGTGGTTCGTCGAAAGCCAAAACAAGGGATGATTGCTTTTACAGCTTCTGCGGTCAGCGCCCCGCCGAAGGCTCGGACGGTGTCTAGCGTCCAGGGATATCCGCCGGGAATAACTTTCGCGACACGGAGCAGTCGAGACAACGCCTGACAGGTCCCACTGCCATGGAAAGCCACGCGGAGCTGGCCAACCCGCAAACCTTCGCGGTGGTATTCTCGATTCCGCCAAACGTTCTGGAAAAGTCTCGACAAGGTCATGGGCAAAGCCGCGAAGATCATTGTCGGAGCTGCCAAGACGAGAAATGACTTCATCTACACTACTTGGTTGTAGGAAGGCTACAAGTCACCCTATCGGAGACGTGAGCGGCATTGTCTCGCACGCAATGGCGCTACCTATTAGACATGACTTATGTTCTCACCCGCCTCAGCAGTGCTTACCTTGGGTATTCTCATGGGACAATGGGAGTGGGGCAAACCGAAGCGGACCTCGGCTGGACTCCACACCTCCCAATCATCGACTCATCTCACCAGAAAACGATGGGGTTCCATTGATAAGAGGAAACGCGGGATTTGGCAATGTTTTCCGCTTCTACGACTGCAAGGCTCTCGAATGCGGAGGAGAAGCTGGGGATGGGCATGAAGCGGGGGAGAAGCAGTTCCAGACTCTAATCCAAGAGAAGCTGCGTGTCTCAGTCTCGATACCACAATACCTCCAAGTCTCGAGATGAGGCAACGCACACAAATCGTCGGCCTTCTTCGTCACTTCGATCCTACACGGCGGCCACTCTAGCCCGAGGCGATGCGACCCTAGCTCCGCCGTTATCCCCGTCGGCCTTTGAGGTCGATCACCCAGTTCTAGTCCTCATCAGGTTGTTCCCTTTCCCAATCCTGCTCCGATTGCGTGCCTTGAGAATACCCACACCGCGCACCCCACCAGCACCCTTTTCGCGCCGGTGGATCGGATGCGGGTTGCCGCCCACCACCCATTCCATGGACCCAGCACCAGGTCGGTCCCCTTTCCCACTCGTCGCCCCCTTGACGGCGGCGTTGCGCTGCCGGGGGCGTGGGCGTGGGCGTGGGACGTTTGAGAAATTGTTGGTTTGTAAAACTCTTCTGTCTCGCTCTTGGAATCCTATCTGCTTGTTCCGTCTCTTGTTGAAGGATTTCTTTGGGCCCGCCCCTCTTGCAAATCTCCCGTTGACTCATTTACATAGTATATCCGCTTTGTCGACTGGGGCTAGCCGTGACGGGAGTCTGTTACACCTTAGGTCAGAGATACAACTAGTACAGTTAAGAATCTCTTGTCCCGAGGCTCGGCGCGCCGTTTCCTGGTTTACTTTCCCTGTTCCATTCCCCCAGAGCCGCAAATCCCAGGAACATCTCGACCAGTCTTTGCGCGGAGGGAGGTCAAACATCGAGCCAGGCGCTGTCCACACTGGCCTTGAATCACAAATCCTCGGCAAACCATTGGGATCAATCGAACATGTCCGCCATACATGACTTCGGGACCGAGTCCCACGCGGGGACCGCCGCCACCGACACGGCGACCGCAACCTCAACCAGCTCCGGCCAAGACTCTCCGCCACTCCGCCCGCTCAAGGAAGTCGAGTCTCGGCACAGCCACCACAGCCGGAGCCGGGCCTCGTCCCACTCGTCCACCGACACCGACCCCCTCGAGCCCCTCGAGCACGCCCTGACGCCCGATCTTGAGACCGAGGCGGAGCACGTTGCCCGGGAGCCCATCACCTACACGCGCACCGGCACGAGTATCGGCAGCACCGCGTCAAGGCCTCCGGACTACGAGGTCGTCTTTGAGCCAGACGACCCGGAGAATCCAAAGAATTGGCCCCTCTGGTACCGCGGCTGGACCATCTTTGTCGTCTCATTCTCTACCTGGGTCGTCGTGCTGTACAGCACGAGTTACACGGCGTCTATCCCTGGCCTGGTTGAGGAGTATCATTCGAGCAAGGTTATTGCGACACTTGGTGTAACTACGTACCTTCTCGGCTTGGCTGCCGGCAGTCTGATCGTTGCCCCGATGAGCGAGTTGTATGGCCGGCAATATGTCTATCTCGGATGCTTCACCGTATCATCTCTGCTAATCATTCCCTGCGCACTTGCAAAATCCTTGACGACATTGATTGTCGTTCGCTTCTTTGGGTAAGCCTTCCTCTACTTTAGTCTTTATCTTCTCTCTCGAATATTGAAATTGTCTGACATCGTGGCCCAGCGCATTATTCGGGGCTGCCTTAATTGCCAACAGCCCAGGAACAGTGGTGGATATCTCAGACGAGGAGTACCGCGCCCTCGCCATGTCCTTTTACTCCATTGCCCCCTTGAACGGACCGGTCACTGGGCCGATTATCGGTGGCTTTGTATACCAGTATCTAGGCTGGCGATGGACCAACTGGATCGTCCTCATCATCGCCGGTGTAGGCATCGCACTCATGTTCACCCTTCGTGAGACTTACGCGCCCACTATTCTCCAGCGCAAGGCGGCTCGTATCCGCAAAGAGACGGATGACCCGCGCTGGTGGTGCCGCTACGACGAGAAGGTCTCCAAGATTCACCTCATCAAGCTAAACCTCAGCCGTCCCTTCGTTCTCAGTCTCACAGAGCCCATTCTGTGGTTCTTCAACCTCTGGTAAGACTTCTGACGCATCCACACACTGCCCAAGGCTAGAGAACTAATAGAACGTGCCAGGATCTCACTCATCTACGGTATCCTCTACCTCTGCTTCGTCGCCTACCCAATCGTCTTCTCCCAATACCGCGGCTGGGGCCCAGGCGTCTCAGGCCTCGCCTTCGTCGGCATCGGCATCGGCACCATCCTCGCCATCATCAGCGAGCCCATCTTCCGGCGCATCATCAACGCCCACCCAAAGGACCCCATCACAGGCCGCGTCCCGCCCGAAGCCACCGCCCGCGTAATGACCATCGGCGCCGTCCTCACGCCCATAGGCCAGCTCGTCTTCTCCTGGACCTGCCTCCCCGCCACGATTCACTGGGCCATCCCCATCGCCTTCGGCATCCCCTTTGGCGCGGGCAACACCATCTCCTTCATCTACGGTTCAAACTACCTCGCCGGCGCGTACGGCATCTACGCCGCCTCCGCACTGGCCGGTAACGCCGTCATGCGGAGCATGTTTGGCGGCACGCTGCCGCTCGCGGGCACGTCCATGTATAAAGCCATGTCGCCCCAGTGGGCCGGCACGCTCTGCGGCCTGCTGGAGCTCGCGCTCATCCCGATTCCCATCATCTTTTGGCGGTACGGCGAAAAGATTCGCGCAAAGAGCCCTGTTATTAGGCAGATGAGGGAGGACCAAGAGAAGAATGAGAGTAAGCGGGCTAAGCAGCTCGCGCGTCTGGAGAGGAAGAAGGAGAGAGAGGCTGCTACCGCTGCTGCTGTGGCTGCGGGTGGTTACGGTGAGAAGTCGACAGGCGTGTTGGCGAGTGAGGAGCAGACTGGGCCTCGAGATATCGAGAAGAGTGTCTGAGAGAGAGGTCCATCATCCTCTTGCCATGACATCGAAAAGGAGGAGCGTTTGATGTATGATGTGTTCGTCGCGACTGGAATTAGACGAGGACAGTATACCCCCCCTTAGTCCTCCGAAAAGGATCTCATGTAGCATATACGGCGTTTGGAAAGTCGCAGCAGGAGACGCATGGGGCCATTGAGCCCTTCCCTATAGAAGCTGTCGAGAAGCGGAGATCATTAAAGCTAGCTACATCCATAGCATCGTCTTAAAAGTAATACTTTATCTTTTAGAAATTGTCTCCCACGGTCGCAGATCTTTGGCGAGCTCCTTCAGCCTTTCCTCGTGCCCTTGGTGCCCTCCCCTCCCGGTCCCGTGGCGTATCGCAGGCAGCCTATATCTCGATATTCTCCTTTGCCACTACCTGGATCAGGTGCGGCCAGATGACCCGGTCTCAGGTTGCAATAGATGCGCGAGGGGGACAAGCAGGGTAAGTTGAGGATAACTTCGTCTATCAGATAGGAGCGTGCTAGTGCACGTTACTGGACAGGTGTATGTATAGAACAGTTAGGCAGTATACACTATACTCATGGCTTGCACTAGTCTGTTTCAGGCCTCCTTCCATCTATCCATACATCCACACATGTGTCTCTTCATCTTCCAATTACCGTCAGAGACCCGTTACGGTAAGCTATACAACAGTAGGTTCTGCTGACAGAAGTTGGGGACTGACAGAAGAGATCAGCAATAGAGATGCTAAAAGGGGTAACTAGGCATGCTGAACAGGCCATGTATTTAAGGACTATAGCGATCAGTCATAAATCTGATAAGGTATTTATTTATACTTCGGTGAAGGTAAGCTGAATATACATGCATATTTACAGAGTTGATTGCTAAAGAGCTATAGAAGTCTGACCTTGAGCGAAGCTCTAGTCATATTATGTACAAGTTCTAGAGACTCAATTTATCTATCAACGTTTCTAATCCTAATAGAGCCCGTCCCTTGTTCATATGAAATCTGTGTGTCAAAGACCAGGCCCATATATTCCTCGCGTAAGTACGGATCTAATCTCTTACCTTATCCTCATGTGATGTATACATAGTTCTTCCGTCCCTGTCGTCCCCGTGATCCTACAGTATAAATGTCCTATTCTTGGCCACCCAACGCCCGGCGGGTCGTTCAGCTGTCATGGTTCCGTACGGGTCATAACAACTGTATCTTGCCGCACTTCTGCGTGGTTCTATAGCCGATGATATCCCTAGCCATCTATCTCATCGGCTTATCCATGCGTGTAAGGTGGGCCTGTTGTCTCCGAGCTACGTGGGGTTGTGCTATGTTCCTACCATTCACCAGCTTTCAACCAACTCTGTGCGCATAGGTCAGGGAATTCGCACAGAACTTCCCGTCTAATCCGGCTGGGAATAAGCCGGAGTTGGCTGTTGGGGCACCTTTGGGGATGCACGTTGTCTTACAGCTGGGTCTCTGAAGGCCTGCCATCTGACCGGGCTGCGTCGCAACCAACAGGGAGACTAGCCCAAGTCACGACCCGACGTCGTATATAGGCGTTGATAACGTTGCCTTCCGGGAGCCTATTTTGGATAACATGTGGTCTGCTTGACGAAAGTAAGGCGTCCTGGGCGGAGGATTTCTCCCCGGGTTTCTCCTGGGGCTGGTGTCCCAGACACATGAATGTCGTTGACTGAGAATCGTGTACGCACGTTGGGCAAGCTGGGCTTCGTTGATACCTTGCAATAACTAAGCAAATAGAGAATGCTTTGATGACAAGGGATCGTTACTGCCGGGTTTGCCCAAAACCCACTCGACTTGTTCTTAGAATCCTACTTCCCGCATCTCCTGATATTCCGGCACAGCTGGCCGCAGATCCACTAAGATTAGCAGCAGGGCTGTGTCATGAAAGACAGCTGCATGACAGCAACCCCTCTTTGGACAAGACGGCTGGCCCCCAGTCGTTTCTTCTCGCCCTACCAAATCACTTGCGCATCTCCTCGCAGCCTGATCTCCCATTCTGATGAACTTCCTTCAAGCACATTCCTCCTCATTCTCGTGCCCTACTGGAACCTGTCCTCTTCGCTATCATTCTCCAACTGCGAATAGCAGGATGGCTGACCCTTTGAGCATCGCCTCATCAATCGTCGGCATCCTCGCCGCGGCCGGCAAGGTGATCGAGATCTTGGGGCCGTACATGTCCGCAGTGAAGGATACGCCTAAAATCGCCGTCTCGGTCCACACCGAAGTCATTAGTTCGCGCATCATTTTATCGTCGCTTCACGGCTTGCTGGAGAACTTGGGCGTTGCCTCCAGGAGTAGAACGTCGCTCGTCCCGATCGACGACCTTATCACCGTCTTCACAAATGGGGTTCTTATCTTCTCGGAGCTGGAGCGCTCTGTGTCGCCGATGAACCTGGCTGGGATAAACGGTATCAAGCTGCGAATGCAGTGGGTTCGCAAGGAAGGCGATTTTGTAGCTATGCTAGATAGGCTCAAAGGCTTCAAGAATACTACGTTGCTGTTGCTCAACATTCTACAGTGGTAAGTGTCGAAGCAGACTGGGGGACCCTCGATCCAGACTGACGCCTTCAGCGACTCCGACTGGCGGGCCGTCAAGACGCAGGATGAGCTTGCTGCCAAGATCATGAATCTCCAGCAAACAACCGACATCTCCCGACGGCTAGAAAATCTGGAAGATACATTTGATGCTTTGAGCCACATCGAGCCACGAAGGCCTAGCGAGGCTCGGAGCGCTATCTCAGCGTTGCTCGACGATCGGTCTGATGATCAGTCCTTCTACTCGGTAGGAACACAGAGGCCGCAGCCGGAATCTACGTTGCAGCCTTCAAATCTTGCCAGATCGCATCCGCCCATTCCTTCTTTCGAATTCCAGGCCGCTCTCGATGAGTCCCTCCCATATCGGAAGGCACGGGAAGGCGTCATCGACTTTTCGATCAAGGGCTCCGTGGCAGCATCAAACGCCTGGTCCGTCTTTTCCGGCGTCAGCCTATCAGATGTCTCAATACTCTCGAACATCGCTATCCCAGTATACCCCAGGGATATATCAAACCCCAGCCACTACAAGTTCATGAAGGCAACGGCCACGAAGGTATACACCGCTCGACGCCCGACTGAGGCCACCATGGGGATGTGGGCAACAACAATAAGCAGAGTCGCGCGGCCAAGAGAACTCCGATTTGAGATCCTATTCGAAGCCCCTGTCATATTCCTGTGCCCGCCTGGAAATAACCGCGGGCCCGTCAAAGGCTCGCCCATCTTTTTCATCAATGGCAGCCAGGCCAGTTTGAACCAGACCATGTCAAGTTTGTGGAACGAAACGGTACGTTACAAGGGAATCGCCGGCAAGGATCAGAAGCAATCGGCGCGTCACGCCGACAACGAGCAAGCCTCCTGGATCGCGCTTCTCTCTACCCTACAAAGGATGGAACACGACTCGAGGGCATGGCAGAGACTTCAGTACGAACAGAAGGCCAAGCCGGCGCAACCCCCGAAAGTCGCCGCCCCAACTGCGCCGCCGGAGGATATCGACTCGGTGCTGGACCAGGTTAACCAACGCTATACTCTTGCCGTGGCCGTGCAGAGGAAGCTCAGGAGCTGGGACGCGATACCCCCCAACTTCAAGAAGCCCTATGCCGTCACAACGTGGTGTCATATCGTCGAGTTACTGGCCGTGCTTAACGTCTATTGGGTCGAGTTTGACCGGACTAACGACATATACCGCGGAGAAGGCAATGGTCTAACTGTCACAAGCTTAAAGGTCAGCGATCTAGGCATCGTATTCACCTTCCAAGTCCATGGCCGCAATCGCTTTGAGAGCAACAGGGTCATCCCGATCGACGAGGTCAAGGAACTCTCCTTCGGCTTCGTCCCGACTATCTACCGGTCTGAGATAGACATGCGCCGACTTAAGTTCCCCAACGAGGAATCCAGGGACTTGTCGACGTTGAACTTTTCCAGCATGAACGAGATAGGAGAAGCGCTGGTTCTAATCGGCTGCAACACAAAGACTGTCAACTACTTCACAGCCAAGACGAGGACAGCGAGGGTCACACATGTGTTCCCCAGTAAGTCGCCTCACTCGCTTCATCTACAGAACCTTGCTAATAATCTTTTATTCGCCTTTGAGATTGTCGGAATGCTTGCGCGGACACTCCACATCGAAAAGAGCGCCTTTCGCCAGCTTCCCAACCCGACTCTCTTCCAGTGGGATAAGAAGAACTTTTCTCTCACTAAATTGCTCAACGCTTTTGCTCTTCAGATGCAACGACAGTTTGGCGAAAAAGCCAACAGCGGTGTGGTTAAGGTTATCTGGCGGCACACAGAAGTGCTGCAAGACGAGATCGACAAGCTGAGCCATACTGTCGAACAGGGTAACTGGTTAAGCCTCCTGCTCATGGATGCCTTGCACAGCGCCCTTGACGACATGGACGAGATTCTGACTGGAATGAAGAAGGAGCGCCTCCAAATCAAAAAGACTCACACAACGAACTCCACGCTCGCCCAAATAGCCCCAGAGAAGCCAGCGCCGCCAAAGACGGAGGTTGAGCAGGGAAAGCCCTCATGCGCTAACGGCGCGAGACAAGCGCATGTTAAAGACGTTCTCCGCAACCACATTCAAGCGGTGCTCTGTGGTTTTAATGAAAAGTCAGAACAGGGGGTTCAGAAGGTACCATCGCAGGAGGTGTCGCAGGACGCCGCCCAGGACAACCAAGCCACGGGAAGAAGCAGGATAGATCGCTTCGAAGCCATCGACGCGGCGAGCCCAGAGGAAAGGGAGATGAAGTTGATGGAGGTGTACTTTGACATCGTGCGGAGGAAGGTGAAGAACCAAGGGCAACAACTGGTATGGGGCGAAGAACAGGCGCCGCTGCTGGAAGAGAAGCTACTGAACATGGAAGATGACGGCGAAGTAGTCAACCTGCTGGACCCGAACCTAGACGTAGAGCACGAGGATATCTGGTGCACGTTGGTGTTCCGTATGATTTGTTGGCTCATGCTCCACGACTTCCACCACAAGGACGTACAGAATGTGTCCAAGAGCGAGTTGCTAGGCAGTCGGTTACCGGTGTACATTGCCTAGTCGGCAAGGGACACTTAGAGCGGCAAACGTCTGATATCTCTCGAGGGGTTTTTTACCTTTTCGCCGTGAAGCATTAGTCGCCTCTTGGAGAAGAGAGAACTAGGAGAACGTTGGCGCACGACAGCGTGTTCAGCGATGGAAAGTAGCATGGCGACGGCCGTCAAAACTGCACGATGGGTTTCCGTCCTATCCACGAATGTTGATTCAATACATACGACGTCGGCATAGCCATTCAATGGCTGCGTGGTGAATTTAAATATGTTTGTGCCCAGTCCGTTGGATTTATACTCTCCACTATCTGGCGATATTCGCAGCTTCTTCTCATCCAACGCATTGCAAATCTTCTTGATATCCATTAAGATATCCATACCGCTGACTTGCTCTTTGTCGAACGAGGCTTTATCGTCGCATTTCTGCTCGCCTATCTTGATCTCCATGTCCTTAACCCATTACGTGACCACAGGGTACAGTGCTTCGCTAGTGTTGTTGTCGGTGTCGTTGTGGTGGAAGTCGGTTTAGGCGTGGTCGCGGGCAGGGCCAGGCACTTGCAGACCTGGGCAGTTTCATCACAAGCCGGAGCCTCGTAACAACCGCATTGGGTGTTTGAGCCGTTACATTGGCTTTCCTCGGTGCAAGCTGCCCCGGGTTTCTGTGCAGCGGCTGTGGAGGAGGGCCACACTGTGGGTACGTCGGAAGGGTTGAATGACTTTTCGCTTTTGGTTGTCTGAGGCGGAGAAGACGTCTGAGAAACAGATGGGGTTGGTGTCAGAGAAGGGATAGCATATGAGCTAGGCGAGCTGGGAGGGGGCGGCGACTCTGCTAGAACCACATGCTTGTTGTTGTAGCTGGTTGTCCAAGCTGCCCACCTTTGGATGCCTGGCGATGGTCCAGCGTGTACTCTTAGTTGAGTACTGGCCAACAGTAGCGAGCCTAGAAAAAGAGTGAACCTAGACTTTGACGGCATGGTATGCTTCTCAGAATGGATCTATGAAGGGCGAGAATAGCAGACAATGTAGCGAGGCAGAAATGAGGATGGAAGCGCGCTTTTCAAATCGCCAGTGGACTTGATGCCACTGAAAGAAAAGACCATTGCCCGATTGAAAGTGTAACCCCCATATCTTTGGGCTTTATTCCAGGTGACACCATGCTATCCCTTCTAAATCTGGCACAAACAGATCAGGTACAGACTTGCCATAATTGTACCTCAAGTAAGGAGACACTTTGTTGACACAAGTCCCCCGCGCAGCCATCTTTAGTTTGAAGGGATGGATTAATGGCATTCACTAAAGACATGCCCGATGTAGAATGATAGCGTCATGGACGACCGAATCAACCAAATGAGAAGTACAGCAGGGAGACAAGAAGTAGTTGACATAAGAGGACAAAGAAGCCGGTGTCATCGTCGAAAGGAACTCGCAAGGAAAGACAGACTGCAGAACCTGCCTACGCCCCCCTAGTCACTTTATCGCATTGATTGACTGACTCCCTTGCTCTTCAACCGCACTCTGTCCCCTTTTTCCCTCCGACAATGACTTAATTAGATGCGAAATCTAAGAAACATCCCTATTCTCAAAGGCGAGTCAAAAGTACATCATGTATAAGGTCACCCAGTTTTACCCCGAAGTAGGCTGATTCCAAAACTTCGCGAAATGGCCACTCTGAGTAATTAAGCCAAACGTTCGTACTGATAACTCGCCACTGTCTAAGTTCTAACATGGGACACACTACAACGCAAGGTAATTCCCGACGCCGGGCACGGCTGGAATGGCATATTGCATACGTCAAACGTATCAACGAGGAACGTCGATCGAAGCAGCGTCAGGTTGACGAAGCTCCCCAATTGCTAGACGAAATTCAAGAATTCGAGGCACTGTTTGAGGAATTGCCCCCGCTTCCGCCTCGCCTTCCTCAACCAGAATACGCTATTGACGTCGACAAATTGAATCCTGATGACCCCGAAGAGCTCGAGTTCTACATTGCTTGTCGAGTCGGCCACCTGCAAGAGGTCGAAGCCTTCATTCAGAACATATCTCCGAGTCACGCTGTTCGCCAATTCGGTTTACAACAAGCTTCTTTTGGGAATCAGCCTGCTGTTGCAAAGGTTCTGCTTGCCAACGATACAGCCCTCCACGGATACGTCTTTGAAGGCACGGAAGCAGCATCTAAAACACGAGGAACCGCTATTGGTGCTTCTCTTTTCGAGACATTCCCGGAAGAAGACGACACTTTGGTTCCTCTGCTGCATACTTTCATGGACGCAGGGTGGCATCCGAATCAGGCATGGGAACCCAGAGAGGGGAACTACCCAAAGTGGGCGTTACAAGATCCCTCATGCGTCTGCAACAAACCGCTGACCGAGTTTCTCCTTTCTAACGGCGCCGACCCGAACATTGGGCCCGGCTGGTATCACATTCCGACACTAAAGGAGCAAAAACAAGATGTATGGTTTTCAGTCGAGGTTCCGTTTCATCGACATGGGATATGGACATTTGGCCTTACGATAGAGACCTGGAACCCGCGGTTTTTTGAGCTACTCAGGACCTACAGTGTTCCTACCCTTAGTGTCTCCGAACTCATGCCCTTGCTGCGCATTGCACGAGACATGATGGCATTTTCGACAGCCCACCAAGAGAGTGAGGATGCTGCGCTGTTGGCAATTCCATTCTCAATGAGACGTGATATGGCTGAGCACATGTTGAGTTTCGATGATGTTGGTGTCGATGATGTGAAGTGGGCAGGGGACAGAGGGGAGCAGACTGCTCTGACGTTGGCTTGTGCTACCGGGGACTGGGAATACGCAGAGTGGCTTCTCGAGAAGGGGGCTGATCCGAGTCTGCTTGACGGGATAGCCTTCGCCCATGATCCGCAGAGGCTAGTGGAGCTTATGAGCAAGGCAGCAGCAACCGATTCAGGGCACTTCGAGGGTGTAACTCAGCCATCTCAGACAAATTTGCAAAAGCAGCTGGCCCAATGTAAGATGAAGTATGGAATTACGCGCCGATAAGTCAGGATCAACAAGGCATCATGAATACATGTTTATGTGAGCAATCAGATAGTCACACTAGATATCACGACTTAGCTTGGAATGGTGGAGGTGTCGGTAATCTATGGCCCAAACACACGTTACACTCCCCTATCGCCCGGGAAATACAACAATTAAAGACACTCATCCTCACTTTTAGGTTACTATGTTTACATCCTCTTCCCTACTTAGCCTTGAGGTTCCTCGCAAAGCATGCCCCATTCTTGAAAGTGATCATACTTCACGATGTCTGGGCTTTATTCGGAGATGGGTGGATTGCTGGAACATTCATTGACAGGCCACGAAGAAGGTCTTGTTATCCATATCACAAGAGTCATATACTTATGTTTGATTATTGTGATCTCAAGATTGCCAACAGTTGGCCTAACGGCACCTCATCTTGCTCCCATCGAAACCTCCATTACCCGGCAAGCCGGTAGATCAGTCCAGTTCCGCTTGGTAGCCTTGCGCTTCCATGGACAGGTTAACTTCTCTTCCTTCCTCTTAGCTTCCTTGTCGACCGAAAAATTCTTTCTTTCCCTCCCAAATAATCGCGTTCGGGGGGTTTACTCGACCCTCCGTTTGTTTTCCTCGTGGAAAGTAAACGCGCCATCCCTATCTTCTGCCCTCAAACAGTCGAAGACACCACAGCCATCGCGATATCGACATCGTGGAATTTCAACTTTTCTCCGCCGGCTCCAGGTGCAAGAAAATTCAGAAATCGAACTCGACCATCGAAATAACGCAGGCGAAATACCATGAACATGTCTCTGTCGGAGACTCCGCATCTGACCGGTTCCCCCCGCGTCCCTTACGAGATTTTCCTCGACACCATTGAGTTTCTCATTTTGGAGCAAGTGGAAGTCGCCGAGCCGATGGACTACGTTCTCGAATACAACAAGCAGAGTGAGGCTAAAGTTGTTGTCAGCACGGAGGGCGAGCATCATGACCATTTCGAGCGACTCAACCGATTGCGCAACCTCTTGCATATCGACTCCAGAAGCCGCAAAATGATTAGCAAAGACTTCCTTCCCATACCAATGGTCACTAGCAAGCGTCGCCATGACCGATACCCGTTCGTGGCACGGGTGTGCCCAGCCGTCGACATCTTCACCCTGCAGGAAAGTTACGAGATCGACTTCCTCTTCGCCGCGATCATGCTTCCTACCATCACGGGTAGTGAAATCGTCCGAAACATCACGACCGTGCAAGGTGCAGACACCATGTTCTTCCAAAAGAACTCCGAAGGCTATGTCGACGCGCTCGCTTCCCTCCCCAACCTCCGGAAGATCATCATCCCCGCTGGCGCTTATCGAATGAAGGAAGAAGAGGACAGATGCAGATGTTCTCGCTCGGAATCCCACCCAGAGTTCATAAAGATTGATGAGGATCACTTTCCATGGCTAGCGGAGTGGGAAAAGAACCACGGCCACATTGCGCGGAAGCTTGGCCCTCAGTTCAAGAAACGGAAGATTTCCATTTTCGCCGGGTCCATGGCTCGTGATATGTTTGAGTTGGAGCTGGATATTACAGAGGAGGCCATTCGCGTCAAGTCCAGCTGCCGGAACTGCGACTGCTGCGACTGCTGGGTGAAGGAGGTCTGTCTAGGAATGCCTCGGGAGCAGCGCATTGCCGAGTTCCTGAGGATTTCCCGAAGAATTACCTGAGGAATTTGAACTGCAAGTTCATACAATTGCATTGCGAGCTACCGATCAAGCCTTGTGAAGAGGGGGGGAGTCCTCAGACTTTCGGACACAGGATGGGAGAATGGAGGAATATTCCATCTCGCAAAATTGGTCGAATGCCAGGACGGCATCCATTGTATGCGAGTCCCTACTTATAATAGATAACAAACAACATTGCGCAAGAAATCAAGAGAAAGATAGCACGAGCATTCGGCATCCCAATGAGGTGCTACATTGGCATACCGAGCAATTTCGACGTACCCTACCGCAACGAGAAAACATATAATACATGACATGATCTTCGTCACCATTTAATTAGCCGAAAGACACGAAGACACAACATTAATTGATAGCTTCGTGATAGAAAATTAGGCCAATAACTTGATATGATCGATTGTAAGTGATTCAGAGGACTTCTTGAAGTTCAAACATGAATGCAAAGCGTGCTCCTCAAACGCTCCTCCGTGATAGTCTGCCGTAGACTCCACAGTTCAAGCCTCATAGAATATTAATGTTGCTGCTGCATCGACTCCTAGAGTAACGCCACGAACTCTCAGATCATCGTGTAGCTCATGGTAGCAATTGCAGTGTGGGTTAAGGAATTGCATGCGAACAGCTCCGTCCTCCAAGAGCAGCCGTGCCGTTTCTGCACTGTCTATCATCAAGAAAACAGAGATGCCTCGGTTTTCTGCAACGCGTAACTGTTTCATCAAAGTTTCTTCAGGAAATACTGCTTGCAGATTCAGGGTCGGAAAAATGTGGGTGTCGATAGGCATGCTATAACCATGAGAGTAGTGGAACGAGACTCTTGGGTCAATTCCTTTAAAGTTCTGTCCGATTTTGAGCCACACTTCTTGCAAGTTGGGAAAGAATTGCATCAATTGAGGAGTAAAAGCTGGCGGCCACTTAGGGAAAGGGGGCAATGCGGGCAGATAGTCGCACACTGACCCTTGGACCCTTCTTACTAGGCTATATAGCTCTCTTTATTCGGGTTGGGGAAGATTTCGAAGGCTGAAAGATCCACGCATGATGCTCTCCGCGTCCGGCGCTATCTCGAAAATGTCAGTATCTGGAAGTACACCTCCTGGCAGCGTGCGAAACCATCCGACCTTGTGTTGAGAATCATACTTTTGTTGAGAGTACATGACGCGTATAATGTTGCTAGGAACGAAGACTTGTCTAACCATGCGTCTGCTAGTTTTGTCGACTTGTAGAAGGGTGCGAATTTCGTTCCATCGACGCTCCTGTATCTTGACGCCTTCAGGGTCCCATCTATCTTCCAGTACGATGGAAAATTGGCTTCGAAGAAATTGCCTTTGGTAATCGAGAGTGTAGGTTGCATTTTCGTATCTAAGCACTTCGCAACTCTCTGAAACCATCGCGTCAACGATATGGAGGAAGATCTCGTAGGACAAATTGACAGGACAATTCAGGGCCGGAAGACGTGCGTGTAACGATTGAGTGGACATGTTGCTTCTCTGTGGGAGTGGAATATTAGGCTTGATGGCTTGTTGGGTTTACTTATAGCAAGGTTTGAAAAGAGGCTTTTGGTGTTTTGGAACAATGTGTGTTTGTTGGGTCTGGCTCCTTGGAGTTGAGGAATGTTGTCGCTTGTGTTGGTTAGTTTCATGGAGAACTTCGGGCATGATAACATAGATTGCATCAGAGCATCTGTCAATTTTATGCATTTATGAACCCTCTTAATCTTTACCAACCTTTGGTAAGTTGTTTTGGGCTTTCTTGCATTGCCATTGCGCAGACAATTCCGTTGTGCACACACTCAGTAGCTAGTCAATTAGTGTTGTTTTGTCTTGCGTCGAGCACTACTCACTTTGAGCGACACCGTCTTTGTCCTTGAGACTACAGAAATATCTTTCTTTCATTCAGAAAGAATCTTTATGCTATTGAACTAGTTGATGACCTTTCCATTCCGTCTTTCAAAACCTCTAAGGTAAGCGTTGCTGATTTTTGTAACCCACCAGCATCTGAGGCATTCTACAAAGGCTATTCAAAGCTCTTTTGAGATAAAGCTGCGCTTTTCCCTATTGCCACTTCATTCCTTTCGAGCTTCCATCAAATCATGTCTTCATGCACATGGAAGTAAAGTAGATAGTATTCCGATGCTTCAAGACGGTCCATTATATAGTCTCAATAAGCTGGGATCCTGTGGGCTAGTTCTGTCCGGATATACTGGCAGAGATTCATGATCACGATGTCATCCGACGAAGTCGCAGGTACTGGTCTTCGAAGTAGGTCTGCTTCAATTTGACTGGGTACTTCACTTAAGAGATGGTGGGCGGCGGTATCTACTCAATACTTCAAGTCAACTTGGACGATAAGATGGCGTGACTAGAAACTTGCGTAGTTGAGTTCATGGTGCGGGGGTTTGGAACTTCCAGATTACGAGCTCATTGCAGCACTTGGATTAGAGTCTCGCTGGCACAGAGAAGACAGGGCGAGACAAAGAAGTAGTTGCTATTGTGGCTTCAATTATGTATGCTAGACATGCTTAAATATTCCAAGTTACACTAATGCTCCTAGAACCAAGCCTGGACACCGGCTTGAATGGCCTTGAGGAGGCTGAAGTCGTACGAGTCCTCACCCAAACTCCAAACAGCGACACCACCCAGGCCGCGAGCCTTAGCAATCTCGTTGAACTTGCGGGTGACGAGAGCAGGAGTGTCCCAGGTCCAGAAGAAAGGACCGGCGGGGTCCCAGTACCACTGGCCGCCGCTGACCTCATCGGTCTTGCCGTTGGCGATGGCAGTCTTGAAGGAAGAGAGGGTGGAGGTGCCGTTACAGATACCGTAGTCGGACTGGCAGCCGTTGCCGCAGTGAGCGGCGGTGGCACCGCAGAATCCGTACTGAGAGCAGCAGTTACCAGTGGGGCACTTGTAGAAAGTGCCGGCACCGCAGGAAGCATCCGGAGAAGTAGTCAGGTTGGTGGGAGCGGCCTGGAAATTGGCGGTCTCGAAGGTTACGGCTCCGGACATGCCCGTATCGGTGCCGTCGGCAGCCTCGAGGAGCTCGGTGGGGCAGCCGAGACCCTGGGTGCAGTTATAGCCCTTCGCGGTGGTGAACCACTTGGCGTAGAGAGCAAAACCAAGGTTGATTTTGGCGGGCGCGACGCCAAGAGCGATGTAGGTGTCGATAGCCTCGAGAGACCCCTTGATGTCAGTGTGATGCTTGGTGATATTGTCGCGGCGGTTCATGAGATCGTAGGTCATGACAGTGAAGTGGTCGACAGCAGCGTTGATCTTGGGGGTCTGGTGCTTGGTGAACGCAATCATATCGCGCTTCAGACCTGGGGCGGTGACGGACAGCTCCATCTTGTGGTGCTTCAGCTGCGTCTTGATAGCAGACAAGAGCAGAGGGAAAGTGTTGATCTCCGAAGTTTTTTGGCTGTTGGGCTTCTGGACGTAGTCCGCGCCATTACCACCTGGGTACTCCCAATCGACGTCTATAATCACGTTAAGCGGGTGATAATGAAAGATCCATCATCCGTCACTTACCGACACAGTCATATCCGAGCTTGACCGCGGTGTCTGCGACGTTTATAGCGTACTTGTGACGGCTCTCGTTGGTGGCAGCACCGAGACCAAATCCATCCGTGTCGCCCCAACCTCCAATGGCCATGCAGACCTTGGTTCCGTTGTTGAACAGAGCGCGGACCTCGCTTAGGGGCTTGAAGGGCTTGTATTCGCCAGCAGGATCGGAAGCAAAGAGGGAAGAGTTGGCGAATGCAGTGATTACATGGGTAACGCCCGAGGTTACGGACTTATCCGGAATTCCTGCCGTGTGGTATCTAGATTGGATCTATGAGAAAGTTGTCTGGGATCTCCTGTGGTTGGAATAACTTACTGGTCAAAGTACATGACATAACGAGGAGCTGCGCCTGTTCCTTCAGTGCAGGTAGTGTCGGCGGAAGCAGCCTGGGCGGCCACGGCGGCCACAGAGGCCAGGCCAAGAGATCGAAACAGCATTATTACTATGGTCTGGTATTATCAAAAGAATGTGGATCCTCAAAAAGGAATTGAGACGATCAGATTAAGCGAGTGACTGGAGAGGCGTAGAAGCGCTTGAGGAAAGGAAAAGAATCCTTACACGTATACGTGAGTGGAGGGAAACGCATCCTCAAATACCTCAACTCGACCCCCATCCGAGGGATACGCAACCAGTCTCGTTTTGATGAAAGTTACACACAGGTAGCGGGCCCTAGTGCGCATTACCGCTGGCCACAACCCGGTTGTTTAGGGAAGCAAACTTCGACGTTTGGTTTCCCTTGGTTGATTGCACTCATAACAAGTGCCAAGCTAAATTGGGCGGGTAGTTGTCGGGTGGATCAGGAGGGGTGATCAATTCGCGGGCGAGCGCGGTAGTGCGGCACTTCGCGGTGCCAAGTCAGGAGACAAGGCGGGATCGGTTGCGGACACTGCGAGACATGGTTGACAGCGGTGGAGAGTTCAATATATCAAGAAAGTATAAATTGTCCGTTTGGTAGAGTCGGAAATTACGGTTGGACTCCGTCTGCAATTAGTAGGCTGACTCGCCGGGATGAGCCCGTCTAGGATACTGTCGAATGAGTCGCGCGACTGAAAGAGTGCTGCAGCCAAGATGATTTTCCAGATGGAAAAAGCTTGACCAAAGCACAAGCCTTCCGGGGTTTCCGTCCGAAAGATCAACAATCTAGAAGATAAACCTCTTTTACTCAAACGTCCAAGACTTGGAGGCTTTTCTAATAATAGTCACGCCAAAAACGTTTCAAAGGTGATGGGAGGATTCTCTTGACTGATGGTATTGATAGTACTAGTTACAGCCCAATCCGCGTCCGGCACTTCCATGTGTAATTTCCATGTGGAATGACTCTCTTAATCTTTCTCCTTGACCTTGAGACTCGCACATTGGCGCATGATAGAGGAATGATCATCCTAGAGTTGCGTACTTCCTCTCCTTCTTCCTCTCCTTCTTTTTGTCTTCGTTTGTGTTTGCTACGGAGGTAGATGAAGCCGGCATGGGTCTTGGAGGACCAGCGATGAGTTCCGAGGAAGCCGTAGCAGAGTTTGGGGGGGGGGACCTCCCATGAATAACTGCCTTGCTCCTGCAGCTCCATGCTCTTCGACTCCGCGGAGGAACTCGGCGGGCATTGTAGCAGAGTCGTCCAAAATCTTGTAGCTCTTGGCTAAGTAAAAGCTCTTGAACTGGTCCCAAAGAATCCACTCTGGGGTTCCTTCCTTATAACCAGGTTTTGGGTAGTATGGGTCGTTTTCCCAGAATGCTGTTACAGCATTCTCAATGCCTCTGGGGGTGGGCGGCAGTCTTCGACATTGATTGAAATCAAGCAAGAAGATGCTCACACTGCGTCGGAGAAAGTTGATGCCGCTTGATTTCGATTCATCCAGGTTCCAGGTCGTGATGATTTCCCCTTCAAGGTCAATCGAGTCCAGGGTTTGAGCAGATATGCGACGCTCGGGAGAACTGCCAAGAACGAATTCGACATCTGCACCGTCAATCTGAGCAGACCAGTGCATGACAGCCAAAGCCTCAGCCATTGGTTGAACGTATTGTTGCGGGTTTACACCCAAAATTTCCATCTTGTCCAGCGTGAGCTCAAAGTTTCTCAAAGAGAATTCATCCTCGACTCGTTGATTCAGGCATCTGCGTCCAAGGTAAACGCGGATTACGCAATGCTTGTTTGCTGGATTGTTTGAAGCATGAGCTTTCATGTCGGAAGGACAGAAGATGGACACAAGCGCTTCACGGATGCTTCGAGGTAGCGGGAGAATGCGTTCAGACACCATGATCGCGCTGGGATCAAAGAAAAATCTTGAATGAGACTTAATCTCCTTGCGGTGAGCAATCTTCCAGGCTTGAAGGTCCTCGATTTGCACGATATATGCAGGTCTTGGCATGGCGTAAGAGTGTGTGGTTTTCGAAGCTTCCCACATTTTGATATGAGCCACATGATCAGCCCACATCTCTTGCTTCTTGTTTGGCCTACCGGCCTTGATGATGAGTCCCCTGCTAGGGAAGTCATAGATCACACCGCAGAACCCTTCTCCAATGACTTCGAGCGGAAGATCTCGCTCTGCAGCTTGTTGTTGACGGATAGCAAATGACGACGCCGTGCTCAGGACTGCGTTTACGGAAAGAAAACGCTTGAGTGTTGTAGTGTAGGATTCGTCAGGTTGATCAATGTCAATGACGTCGCCATGTTGAACATACTTGTTCGCTATCGTAAGGTTTTCGACGAGCGATGGAGTCATTGAGTATGCCGACTCGTCAGTTTTGTTTCCCTCGCGTCTGCTTCGTGGATCTGACATGGTGACGATGATTCGATAAAGCTCTCTCTGTTTGATCGTGAATGCGGGTATGTATCAAGTTTGAATCAAGATAGTGAGTTGCAGAAGGGAGAGAGCTGAGGAGGGAGAGAAGTGTAGGAAGAAAGATTGGGTAGAGATTTGAGAGAGGGATGGGGATGTGAAGATGTTTCCTTTATACTGCGAAGGTGAGACATTGTGCTCCTGCCGAGTTTTAAAAATGAGCTGGAGGTGTGAGGCAGGTCCTTCTTATTCAAAAAGGGCAAGAACATATCGGAGAAAGAGCTCCCGGCCAGGCCTGGAAGGTGGGCGGTAGGCACTATAAAGCTGCTCATGCCTGCCTTTACTATCGAGTTGGAAATGGTTTCCTTAGGTTCGCAGTGAGAAATTTAGTTGATTCGTGTATACCTAGGTATCTCCTATATCAACCATCTTCCGAAGCTTTCTCAAGCTGCTTCCTGATCCTAGCCACACCTGATTCTCCATCATGAACGTTGCCCAACGCGACAGTCTTTTCTCTGGACTTGAGTCCTTGTGTGATTACGAGGTCTGATTTGGGAACGCCCAAAACCTGAATTAATTTAGCACCCTGCGACGACGACACGGAACCGACCGGAAGCCTTGATGAGTCGATGTGCTCCTGCTGCTTGAAATAGGAATATTTAGAGCTGAAATAGTACACATACCCCACTGAGCAATTTCACGACAGCTTTATTAGCTTCGCCTTCCTTCGCCTGTGCTGAAACGCATAGTTCCACGGTCGCGTCTGTGACGGCTGTGACCCCTTCGCGAACTCGGGAAGCGCCAGGTTTCACATGACATTGTAGATACAGAGTATCTAAGGGTGACTTTTTGGTACCTGCCACAAATCGAATCGCTGATGATGCCATGTCGTGTTGCTAACTGTACTGTAAAATGTAGTGGGGGACGTCGAGTTTGAGTGTTGTGGTGTGGGTTGAGTTGCTGTGGAGAGCAAGGTTCGGACGAGGAAGCCTGATTGGTCCCTAGAATACATGCCACAAGAAGCTGTCCCATTACGCGACAGCCTATCATACCGGTATGTACGGAGTACTTTGGAGTTGTGACTAATTGTTGCTCTCCTCTTCCTTAGCCGACGTGCTCTTCATTAAGGATCATCCAAAACGTTGGCGAGCCCTTGATCCAGCACCCGAAATACTCAAGAGAGCGCATATGCAGAAACCAATCCATGCCTTCCCCCAGTCTAAGACTGATTGACTCGTCCTCCGGCTTATGAATCAAGTTCCAAACCTGGAAAGCATGCCGGCTTCCCATTGACTGCTAGATGGCGTCACTACATCCGTCTCTAATCTTTCTCTAAGCTCGACCTATTCCGAGATTATTTATAGGCGAGTATAAGGGAAATAGAGCAGAACTAGAGAAAGACTGGAGACGGATGTAGTGGCGCTATCTGGGAGTTGAGGGATAGAGGGTGTCTTTAGGGATAAGCGCTCGTTGGCTTGAGTGTGGGTCGCTGGCATTCACCACAGCCTGTCGAAACCATCGTCGGCGACTTACAAGAATTATCCACGAAGCTATCTGGGCCAGGCCCCGGACTTAGGACAGGAAACGACAAAGACTTGTGTGAATTGGCTGCTGAATGCAAGACACTGGCCGTGGACCTAAAAACGACTGCTCGACCGAATCAAACCGAAGGTCAAAGGTTCTAACTTCTAAATGGGATTCCTTTGTCTCGGCCCTCAAGAATGAGAGATTTTCCGGCGATAAAGAAGAGCTTAGAGTACGGCTCGAAGCATGTCGCGGACAGTTGCACTTCAAGCTCAATTACGTCACGAGGTAAGCAACAATAGACTTCTACCAGATTACTATGGACTGACCAAACTAGTCGGGATACCCAAGACAAGTTAAAGGACATTATAGACTTGTCAACGAGCAGCAACACTCGCCTTGAGGACCTCCAGGCGTCCGTTGAGCAGATCAGAAGTAGCATCCAAGCTCCTGGACTTGATGAAGCGATTAAGGGTAGCCTCAACAGTTTACTCGATATACCGGAGGACAAGCTTGATGCCGTGGCCCAAGAGCGCGTGCTCAATGGATTAAAATTTGTTGAAATGAACCATAGGTTCGACCAAGTCTCCGAAGCCCACGCCGAGACCTTCAAATGGATGTTCTCCGATGAAGAAGACGAAAAAGACTTTTCTATAGAAGAGGAGAGTGAGGGAGAATATTCCGAGAAGGCCGAACAGGAGAAGGAATTTCCACATAAGAAACAACGTAAAGAAGACTTGCGCGAAGAGGAAGAATCCGAGGACGAACCCTCCAGAGGCAGAGAGAGTAGGGAAGAGTTCTACGGAGAGAAAGGGCCCATATCCGAAAAGGAAGAATTTGAAGAGGGCAGCTGCGAAGAGGAAGATCGTCAAGAGAAATACGAACTCGGAAAGAAGCGGCATGAGGAAGCACTCGCTAGAGAGGAACAACACGACGAGGGGAGGCGAGAGACCAGGAGAAGATTTCTAGACTGGCTTTCCACCGGAAGTGGAGTGTTTCGCTTTTCTGCCAAGCTTGGTGCAGGAGAATCAACACTGATGGAGCTCATCATAAACAATCCGCATGTTCAAGACAAGTTACAGCAATGGGCTGGTAAGTCTTGCCTTCCATCACCAATCGTTTGCTTTCTGACACACGTAAAGGTGATTCAAGACAGCTCGTTCTCGCTACGCACTTCTTCTGGCAGCCTGGCAATTCTTACCTTCAGAAATCTTTCGACGGCATGTGCCGAGCCTTACTTTATGGTGCAATTGTTGGCCGACCCGAGTTGACACGTCTACTTTCCCTATCTCACTGGAATTCTGCATGGTCAGCTCCTTGGAAAGCAAGCAAAGAGCTTATAATTCATCATACAGAAGTTCGAGAAGCACTCAAACTCCTAGTTTATCATACTAAGGTGAATGGGAGTTTTCGCTTTTGCTTCTTCATCGACGGCCTGGATGAGATGGAGGAGTCTACGGATTTCCAGCATCGCCATTTGGCAGAGACTCTGAAGGAATGGTCAAGGCACAGCTCTGCGAACATCAAATTCTGTGTCTCGAGTCGAGAATACAACATCTTTCTCCATATTTCCCGCAAGAGCAGAGGATCTGTTTGCACGACTTGACAAAAAGAGACATGGAAAAATACGTGAAAGATGAGTTGACTGGATGCGTTCGAAATTACGGCACCCCTGAAATCATTATTGATTCAATTGTCAAGCCTCTTGTGGACTCAATCGTTGACAGGGCTCAGGGAATATTCCTCTGGGTTAAATTGGTTGTCAATGACCTGTGTAATCAGATGGAGAACGGCTATCGACCAGAATGCTTGCACCTCGAGGTCGATAAACTCCCCGAAGGCATTAACCATCTCTTCCATCATTTCATGACCTCCATCAGCCATGGCGCGAGGCGGAAAGCGTACCAAACACTAGACACGATTGTCAGGGCTAACGAATGGTATTTCAAGATTACCCTTCTGGCATGGAAACTCTTCGAGGTGAGAGAGAAAGATCAGCCGGCTCCTTCTTTCGAGTCTCGAAGTTCAAGGCCAACAGACGATTCCAGGGATGTGGAAGTTTCGAAGAAGAGGCTGAACAGCTGTCTCAGAGGGCCAGTCGAAGTTACAATCATAGGGAGAGATGAGCACCTGGTGCGTCGCTACAAGTTGGAGGTGGCTCACCGCTCCGTTGAAGATTTCATCGTTCAAGAGAGGAAAAGTGGAAAACGTTGTCTGAGCGAACTTGACGCCTTGACCGCCCTATCCTATATTACTGTCTCTTCCTGGCGTCACGAAGCAGACTACACCGAGAGTGCGGAGTGTTGGTATGGTGAAACTCTTGCTTTTCTTCTGCATATGAGGGTAAGACGCTTCTCTGACATATCAAACTTGGAATTTTTCGAGGATGTTGCGTCTTTGGTTAGAGATTATGATCTGATATCTAAACGCCTCAATACGCCCTCGACAGTGCGATTCTACTCCTTTATGGAGGTACATCTACTTTTTCGATGTGGTAGCAGATAATTGTCCACGGAATGCAGACACGAGGAGTCTAAGACAGATGATGACGAACCAATACTGTGGCTTCCCAGCCTCCGACACATTCTCCTTCAGGGAGGTTACGACACTTATGAGTTGTCAAAGCTCCAGACGACGCAAGATACTGCTCAAAGCCCAGAAAATCTCTCATTACTTGCGAGCTGCATTTTCACCCACTTCACAAACTTAGTTTGCAAGAAGATTCACTACAGTGATATCATGGAAACTCCATTCGACCCCGAGTTTGGTGTGGCTGTGATCGGCAGCTTGCTTGACCAAGGACATTTATTTCCGAATTTCGGAATGCATACCTGGTTATGGCCCATAATTCAAGAAGCGGAAACCCTCACTGACTGGCGTCCGACTCTCATGAAAGTCACATTCCTGGTTGCATCTATGCTTCAAGTTGCCGATGGCGACTTGAATACTCCGATTCAAGCCATTCTTGAGCGCCTACTTCGACACAAGGGCAATCTCTGCTTCACGATGGAAGTGGAAATTAACGAGGCTGGGACATTTTCATGATCACTAGAACGCCCTGGAGCAGGCAAGCGTCGCCTCTGGCTCGATGATTATCACCCATCTACGCACGGGTCATCCATAAGGTAGTACGAGACCGCAATGCTTGGAACTTGGGACCCGAGACAGTTCATCCAATTGTCTAGTTTCACAAACAAAGAACCTTTGCTGCAGCTCATGGATGATCAACTACGAACTGAGCGTACAGCGATCGAAGATGCAGTGTCAATCATTCAGGATGATCTGGAATCACAGCAAGATTCAGCGGATGATTTTCTGGGAGCAAAAGATTTGCAACACGACGAGAGTTACTCGGACAATGAGAATGCGTTGACCATAGAATCATGTGAGGCTAAACAACTCAATGCAGCTGGGGAAGAACAAGTATCAAAAATCACTCGACGAGGTAAATTCATTTCGCATCCGGTAGTTTGGGCTTTCATAGATTTCCTGACCCCGAAAAGACCCACCGTCGAACTGATAGAACTATGCTAATGTCTGATGCAGGTATAACTCTGCAGATATGGCTTGCAGTATAGTTGCAGGTCTTTCAAGGTTATTAAAGTATCAGGGCCATTTTTAGCCAACTGTCAAGTGCATGCTTGCCATCTCATGAGATACCTTGAATCATCATACCGACACGACGGGCTGTAACATTTGACAACATCTGGTATACAGACTCGGTCATCGGGGGGCAGGGCTCGTTTGCGTTCTGAAGATGAGCAAAGATGACATAATTCCTGTTCTTATTACAAGCGATTGCTAGCAGGGAAGGGTCTTTCAGTAAAAACCCAACAGTACTTCTATACCGAGAGAAAGAAGATAAGTTTCAAATTAGAAGGCAAGCGAGAATTCATCACTGCGATTCGATAACTTCGTGCAAGCGCTCATTCGTAATTCAAATTGGACCTGTGCCGCCTACTGTAGAAGTGGAATGAGTTTTGAGGAGCAAAGGATTCATCATTGGAAACTCTGAAGGGTACTTGCAGAACTGGTGAGGATGCACTGCAGACCGGGCGATTTGAGAGTTCTGAGCCGGGTGTTCATGCCTTGTCATATTTTTGTCATCAAAGTTTCTCTCTCATGATCAGATAAAAATTCTTCGTAAAAGGAGTGTTAATCAATTTGGTATTCCCATCGCTTTCTTTCTATGCCGTCAGGCCTGTCAATCTAATATGATTTTGTGTCGCTTGCTTGTAAAGATTTGATGGCTTATAAAGAAGCCTATTACGTCTACTACTCAGCGTTTGCAACCACTCTATTCGCGGTATTGACCTGCGAAGAATGGGATCGAAGCCCATCCTTTTCAAGAAGTGCAAGGCGATTCTCCGCATACATTCTCTTAGTAGTGATCCTCTCAGGGTAATTCCTTAGGAACATGTTGGTGAAGTGAGTGCCGTAGTGAATGCCCTCCTTGGGAGACTGGCCAACATCGTAGCCTGGCAGAGGTTTGGCAACAGCTTGGAAGCTGGGCTCATGGAAGTAGGCGAAAGCAAAACGATCGCGGGTGTTCAGGCCGACCTTGTGGGGAGTGGAGGGCAGATAAGAGTTGGTGATGTACTGCATGATGTCACCAGGGAAGACTGTGAAGACGTTGGGAACAGGGGGCACGTAGTGCCAGCGGTCGTCCTCCTCCGCCATTCCAGCTGAGCTCTTTTCCCAGTTTGCGTAGTTTTCACCTTCGTATGGGGGACGGATGAAGAGGCCTGAATAAGTATGTCAGTTTCCGTCGAGTCGAACTTGTGGAAGGCCTTGGCTTACCACCAACATCATCTTGAGCAGCAATCACCAACAGACCATAGTCTGTGTGAGAGCCGATACCACGTCCAGCCTTGCCCTTGCCGTTTGTGTTATGTGTAGGAGGGAATCTAGTCGGATAATCAGTGTTAGCAGACCGTTGTCTTTTAGTTGCTACTGTGAATGTGGCTAACCTGAGAATACGCATGTGATGCCAGCCGTCCTGAGTCAGGTTCGTGAGGGAGCCGGCGGGCACATTCAGGCCTAGCTCAGCAAGCTGGAGCAACTTCTCTCCACTTTCCCCAAGGTAGTCCATATAAGTAGTCATGGGCTGTTTCATTTCGTAGTCGGGCCAAGGGGCCGGGCCGTGACAGGGCCACTTTGCGCGAACGCGGGGTTCAGCGAGATCTAGGTCTTTAGTGACGGTGAAGATCTCAGAATAGTCGGCAATGCCATCGGTTATTTCCTCGCCTGAGGCGATATATCCCGAGTAACTTTGAGAATCAACACATGCGGCCTTCTCGTCATGGGGTTTGGCAAAGAATGCCTTGCTTGAGGCCGTGGCTTCATTGAAGATGTGCTGTTGCTTGTCGTTCATTGAGACTTGGAGGATACCATCACGGCGCCAAGCATCAACCAGAGCTTTCCCCATGGCGCGATCGCCAGGGCTGCCGGTGACACGCTCAGGAAGTGCAAATGTCTCAAGCTGAGCTACTGTGGCTTTGTGTCCCGGGGGCATTGTGGCAGCCATCCGGGCGAGGTTGTGGTCTGTGACGGTTGCCAAGTGACGAGTGTGGCCAAGAGCTGACTTCCGCGGCCCGCGGCGAGCCATTATACTCAAAGACTTCGTTATGGCTGACATGTCTGTGACGAAGTTCCAAACCCAAGATATTGTCACTAGGAAAAACAAGATGCTAGGAGAATAGCGTTGAGAGATCTGGATTGCAAGATTCCCACGGCTCATCTGCCCTCTTTATACTTGGCATTTCACTCCCTACATCTCACCGTAGCTTCTGCCAAGCGGCATTGGGTTGCAATTCACATGCCGTAGGCACGTTTCCATTGTCTCGAGAGCTGCAGAAACAGGTTTAGGTTTCCTTCGGAATTGGTGAGGTCTCGTTCATATCATATGCTTGAACTCAATTCTATCACGTTTTCGACCAAGGGGCGGTGCTTCAGAACTCAGGGGGTATTAGACATGCCTGTTCGGAATCAACTTTCCGTTTTAGCTGGTATATACCGCAGACATCAGGGAAGCCACTGACGATGCTTGGCTCTTCCATGGGCCAGGGCACAATGTCTTCGGCGGGCTAAGGTAGAGGTGGAACCTGTGTTGAGGTCTCCAGAAGGCCCACTGAGTTGCCGAGAGCGCAAGGGGTTGTCGAGTCAAGAAAATCAGACTTCGCAATGTCCCTTGCAATCTCGCAATAGAGCATCTCCACGATGGCTCACATCTTTGATAGATGCCAAGAAACCCACCGGCAGCTAGCTCTAATAACTAGGACTTCGTTTTCATTAAATACGGTCTGAGGAATGGCAGTAAACCTGTAGAAACCATACCTTCTCAGGAGGTAACCAAAGAGACTATTGCCAAGTCTGAAGTCCACTGGAATGAATTGTCAACTTAATCAAAGAATCTATGAACCAATCAAGTGTTTGCAAAGTTTTGAGACGTAGGCAAAATGTGATCAAAGCTTTGGTTGCATTGAGCTACTAATCTAGGGCAACGTACATATATCGGTTGGTCAGAGACTGGTTTGTGCACTCCTGCAACACTGAATGTTGGAGATGTCGTTCTCGCCGCTTCTGCGATAAGTTACCCAAGAATCCGGGCTTGCCGCCAAGACCAGCTTCCATGGGACCCACGGAGGTTTAGACTTTCTTTTCTGCCCACGGCTAAATGAGGTTCGCCCCAGTTGACACGAAACCTTAAATGATGGCTTGGGACAGGACTGGTTGCTTACGGATCGAGAGAGTTTCGCGGGCGTTACCAGGCGAGCGGTTTAACGATCTCGAGGCTCGGCAGAGGTTTGAACGTTCTTTGATTAATAGGAGGCGCGAGTCATAGCTGAAATCTTTTTCAGGAGGGCTAAGAGATGTCTGAGTCTCGAATCTCGCGTCCGGTCCGTACCCAGGACGCTTTTTCTGTTACCGCCATCTCCGGGCAATTACCCCGGACACGGACTTGAGTCATCCCGCGCGGACGTTCCAAAGTGAGAGCTCAACGCAAATCATGATTCGTGGACCTCACAACTTCATCCCTTTCGAAGTAAACCTTGCCTTTTCTGGAACTCCTGTGCGGCACAGCCGAGGCCGGCGGGCCGCCGAGTTGTCTCCTTCGACAGCACCTCCGTAGGATTCGTATCGTAGACTCTGTTCATACGAATGAACAGGATTTTCGTGGATCAACTTGGAAGAACATCCAATCGTGGACGCAAAACGTCAAAATGCTCTTTCAGACATAATGATGGGTTCGATTGTGGGCACGTGCATGATTTGCGAGCTTGGTGGTCTTGAGTATCAGCCAGAATCATACCTTCAGTTGTCAACTCTTCAATGGTCTCCTTAGCGTTACATTGCGACACTTTCAGATAATATGCGACATATTCACAAGCCGCCTCGTTGGGGTACGTATGCACAAGCACAAGGTCTCTCGGTGCAGGGCCTTCTTCAAAGTCCGAGTTTCCAGTCACGGATCCCTGTCGACAGGAACAATGCTGGTCCAAATCTAGGCGAGACGTTCGATTCGTCAAAACCTTGGATTCCCATGGACTCAGTATTAAGATGACAGATCTTTTCCATCATTACTTTGAATTTCACGGTCTATAATATGCTCAAATCACTCAAGATTTGTCGAAAACAGGCTGGCTAATTCAAAGCTGACAAGGTACTTTTGCCAAGTAATTGAGTGTAGAAGCCAAGTCTTCTCGTGGATGGGAAATAACGCATGCTGGTACAGGTTCTTCGTAATAACGAGTTTTCTGTTCTAGCTGGGACGAATGGCTAGCTGGATTCATGGGCAAGGTAGCAATGGGTAAAAGGTAAGTAGGTAACACTCGGCGCCTGAACAACAACCCTAGAGGTGTTGAGACTTCCCTGACTCCCTGTGTACAGTGTAATACTCCGTAGACACTTTAGCCGCCAGCGGCCAGACAGAAAAGTCGCCGTTCGGTCTGATCCTAGGAGTACGGACATCGAACAGGGTGGATCCAACGAGTTGAGTTCTTCATCAACACAAGTTCGTTCGCTGTACAGACTGCAACGCACTGAGCCCACCGCTACTTAGTACCTACTTCTGTTCTCAGGAAGACAAAGAAGAATCCGCAGGCATCCTTCAAGCCCATGTTTGTATGCAATCCCTTGGCTTCATAAAGCCACACGCCGAGCGCGAATGCACTGTCTCCACAGAGCTGTATTGATAGAAAGAGCTTCACATTAACGAGAAGCTCCTTGAAGGTTCGACAGCGGCCCAGGCCGAGGTCAATCATCTTTGGGGTTGAGACGGATCTTGAGTCTCGCTATGCATGCCTAGGGTACCCCAGTTGAGAAGTCGAAGCGTCGGAGTTGCTTCCGCGCCGCGCCTGATTCGTACATGTTGCATCCAGTCGGTCGCAGAAATGCTCTAAAACGTGAATGTGTTCGGGGCTTAGAATCTCCTCTGGAGTCATTACGCTCACCTCGAGCCATTAAAGAGCTTGGAAAGCTCGAAGAGTATCCTCTCGCTGCGTTCCGGCGATTTCGCCATCTTGGTGGACTTGGTGGCAAGGGTTCAGACTCCGGAGCCTGGATGAGAGTCCAACTATTTGCAACTCGAAAGATTACGTGATCTGACCATCTGCTCGCGATATTATTCTCACGCTGGGTCGAAGCTTTAGACGAGGGGTTGTTTCCCTCCACCTGCCCCATAGTCATCCTTAGTGGGTTCGCTCTTCCAACTCGTCTAATGACAAGATCAGGATCTGACGGAAGTCTAACGCAGACTCTTGCATGCTGACTTTGGCCACTTTTGGAAAACCGAGGTGACACTCTGCGCATGGAAACCTACTACTGACAACGAGGATGCAATGAAACCTCAAAACAAAGGAATTTGTGTGCTTGACATGGCACCATACAGTACTTCCCTGGCATTTAAAAGACGGATAGTTTCCCTGGTACCACGAACCCTTTTCCGTCAACGACGGATACACGCATCGAGCCAAGATCTCAAGAAAGGCCTAGCCTAGCTTTCGGGTGGAGAAGGTATTAAGGGGTGTAGAATGCTTTCGAAACCGACCCTGGATCGTTGGATTTGCCATTGGTACTTACTATGAACTGGCGCAGCTGCCTTTCATGATGATATAAGGAACGATGATGTGCATCAAATTCAAAGATTAGGACTAGTCAGAGGGGATGTTTTCTGTGTTTCCCATAGGCATTCCACGGTGAACCTCTTGTTGACTTCTGAGTCCGACGTACCCAGGACTTCGACCTGCTGATGAACTCAGGTGCGTCTCGGGTAGAGTCACGGCAAAATTTCATGTAGTAGACACGTTGTAGAGTTTAACTTTCGTACAAGGAAAGTTCGCACAGTCTCATAGACAGCAGTTAGGCTTTCCAGACGCTGACCATCCTATCATCTCATCTTTCGGACGGCGATTGCTCAAAATCAAGAGATGGCAACAACGTTGAAGAGCATTCAAGTATTTTTGAGTACCTCCCTGGAGAAAATAGAGATTGGATAATCAAAATGCTCATTGTGGTCTCTAGAGACATTGAGACCGACTCCTGCGCTGTTTTCGAACTTACCAAGAAGGGTTTACTGCTTAGCAGTTGAGTGTGAAGTATTCTCATAAACGCGCTTTACTTCTCAGCAGGTACCTTATCTGCTAGATTGGCCTTTTACTTTAGATATACTACTCCGCCCGCCCGCCCTCCTAATTCAGTCGATTTCTCTCTTACTACATGATGGACTCTTACTTTTGTTGCCGAGCTTTGTGGAGATTGAGGCATCGGAACCAGTTCCTCGTTTTGTCCATTAGCACTCTTCCTGACAATTGAGTCAGCAGATGGCACTTGAGGAGTAGCTATACGGATGCTTGCTGGATGTCGAATAAAAGAGACTTCAAGAATGTGATTGACAACCGTTTTAATTGATTACTAGCTTCAACTGAGGTGTTCCTCTTAAGACCTGCTGGTATCATGAACAGCCAGCAAATTCAGACTAACTGCGAAGCTTGGATAATCGGGATGGGTCTCCTCCACCACACTTTGGCCGGCGCAACTCCGTCAGGAGGCCTGAACGCATCAATGATCAATGCCTATTTGATATTTATATTATCTGCCGACTCAACGAGATCACAAGTTACATGTAGTTGTTCAAATTTCCCAGTCAATTCTTTCTCTCTTTCTAACGGAGTTCAGCAGCGCAAGCAACTCTAGCCCAACCTTTTCAGCTCCAGCCCGGCCACTGTCGTATGCGCAGCGTATTTAATAATTATAGTATCTCAACACTGCATCTCACATACATAAGCTATTGAAAGATCTATCAAAGCTACATACCTTACGCAGTGGGTGTTGTCAGTCAGATTCTCGCACCAGCTACGTATGGTTACCTTAGGTCGCTCACGCGATCCCAAGTTTCTTAATTTGCCATGCCGGCACTAATCCAATGCTCATCAGATTCTTCTATTCATAGCCTCAAATTTATACGCTTAGGTGTCTACTCCAGTTTGGTTAAACTCGGCGAACCACTGCTGCAATTGGCAGCTTACCTTAACTAAAGTACCTCAAGATTGAAGCGACAGCTTGGATGCACTTTCCCAAATTTCCTGATTTCCTTTAAAAACTGTGCTATAGTGCCGAGAGCCCAAAGTACTTAAATGC